ATAGAATGTTTAAAGACATAAAGCAGATCACATCCAACAGCCGGCTCAGATGAATGATTTTAGACTGGACAAATGAACAACTGTCCTGCACAAGAAGTCGTGGAGGACTGGGTAGAAGAAATACAAATAGGTGCATTGTGTGTTTCAGTAATGTTGTGTAGAGCTGTTTTCTCTAGACTAATGTTGTTAGTGTCAGGTCAGAGCTGTTCTGGATGCAAACTCTGTTTGGGTTTATTCTTCTGTATCTTGTCCTGCTCCACGCTGGTCTTGAATGTGAGTGTCACCTTGTTTTTGAAATCTTGTCATTAGTTAGATAAAAATGTGCAAACCCAAACATTACTGCCATGTTGTTTTAACAGAGGAGATGCTTCACACTGGAAACACTTTCACATCAAAAATATGATCTTAGTCTCCAATCATACTGTCTCAGAGTGTAATATTATCATGCTAACTGAGGACTGTAAAGTCTATAATATATGGTAGGTCTTGAGATTTCTAATCTTTACACAATCTGACCAGTGGGAGCTTGCTGGGATGTCTACCCTGTGGACATTTAGCAACTGTTTTGAATGTTTTCTGCTTCACTTTAGAATGATGGACTCTGTATTGTTTTGGGATGGTCTTGTGGCTTTTCCCAAAACAATGGGCAGCAACCATTGCTAACATAGCATTTTTAAAGGTTTTTCATGTTTGATGACAACCCTTCTATCACATAAAAAAATAAAAATATTTGCGGAGTCTTGGCGACATCTTCAAGTGCATTCAAGAAAACAGTTTGTTCTACATTATGCATAATAGAGAGTTATTGATCAAGGATGGTTTAAGTATGCACTAAACTTCAATAGTAAAACTATGGTGGTTTATCATCATGATGGTAAGGCATCATGGATGAAAGGTGGTAGTATTGTATTTTTCACGTATAGGGTCCACCAGCACAAGTTATGCTTGGCTATTACGTTACAACTGTGACTATTACAAAGACGTAGCAAAAATTAAGCACAGACAGAATACACATTGTTGTCACATTGTCCCAGAATGGAAAGCTCATTTAGCATGTAGCTTCATGGTGCTGTTGTATGAGATAGTTGTGGTTAGGGTAAGTTGTGAGGGTGCAGTCAAAAGCCTTGAGTATGGGGAAAACAGCAGGGAAACTCCATCCATCCATCCATCCATCCATCATCTTCTGCTTGTTCCCGTCGGGTTATAGGGGCAGCAGCTTGAGCAGGAAGACCCAGACATCCCTTTCCATAACCACCTCTTCCAGCTCTACTGGGAAGACTGCAAGACTTTCCCAAGCCAACCGAGAGCCAGTCTCTCCAGCGTGCCCTGGGTCTTCACCAAGGTCTCCTCCCAGGCGGACATACCTGAAGCACCTCTCTAGGGAGCATACTTACTAGATTGCCCAAACCACCTCAACTGGCTCCTCTCAATGTGGAGGAACAGCAGATCTACTCTAAGTTTGTCCTGGATAACTGAACTTCTCACCCTGTCTCTAAGGGAGAGTCAAGCTACCCTGCAGAGGAAACTCATTTCAATAGCCTATGTCCATGTTCTCATTCTTTTGATCACCACTCAGAGTTTGTTGTCATAGGTGAGGGTAGGAACATAGACCGACCAGTAAACAGAGAGCTTCGCCTTACAGCTCAGCTCCCTCTTCACAACAATAGACCAGCACAAAGTTCACAATACACCAGACACAGTGGTGTAGTCTACATTTTTGTAGTATGTATACTGTGCTTAGAAACCAAAGTACACTGGTTAGTACAATGTAATTGGTAATTTATTTTGATTAATAAGCGTATTGAACATTTCAAAATTTCTCTGATGCTTTTATTTGAATAAATGAACAATAAACTTTAGTCAACAGTTGGCTTTGTATTAAAATCATGTTGTAGAATTTCTAAAACAGTATCAAAGCAAAACATGTTCAAGTATTTAGTAGTAAGTACATAAAAATGAATTATACAAAAACGAGGTTAAGCCAACTCAATGTGTCTATAAAATGTTCCACATGTGTTGACAATGACATGAGCCCATGTCATGTATCATTGCCAGTTATAACCTACATGACATGGGCTCATATCATTGAGCACTTTTAAGTGGGTATACTGAAATTCCCAAGCTTTTCTAGTGGGTATACTCCAAATGCCCGCATATCACATAGACTACACCACTGTGCAGACACTACACCAATCAGTCTGTCAATCTCACGCTCCATTTTTCCTTGAAGTCCTGCACTTTTGTGACCTCTGCTCCTTGTAGCCTCACCGTTCCACCAGCCTCCCTCTCATTCACACACATGTACTCTGTTTTACTACAGCTGACTTTCATTCCTCTTCTTTCAAGTACATACCTCCACCTCTCTATGTTCTTTTCCACCTGTTCCCTGTTCTCACCACAGATCACAATGTCATCTGCAAACATCATAGCCCATGGGGATTCCTGCCTGACCTCATCTGTTAGTCGGTCTATCACCAGAGCAAACAAGAAAGAGCTGAGAGCCAGTCCTTGATGCACTCCCACCTCCAACTTGAAGCTATCTGTCACTCCTACAACACATCTCATCACTGTCCTGCTGTTCTCATGCATGTCCTGTACCAGTCTAAAATACTTCTCTGCCACTCTAGATTTCCTCATGCAATACCACACCTCCTCCCTCGGCACCCTGTCATATGCTTTTTCTAAATCCACAAATACACAATGGAGTTCTTTCTCACCCTCTCTGTACTTCTCCATCAGCATCCTCAAAGCAAAGATGGCATCTGCGGTGCTCTTTCTCGGCATGAAACCATACTGCTCCGAACCATACTGGAGTTTGCATGTTCTTTCCGTGCATGCGTGTCTTTTCTCCAGGTGCTCCAGTTTCCTCCCACAGACCAAAAACATGAATGTTAGGCTGATTGGTAACTCTAAATTGTCTCTAGGTGTGGGTGAGAGAGTGAATAGTTGTTTGTCTCGTTTGTCTCTATGTGTCCCTGTGATGGACTGGAGACCTGTCCAGGGTGTCCCCCGCCTCTCGCACAGTGACTGCTGGATATGGGCACCAGTGACCCCCGTGACTTGAAAAGGATGAAGCGAGTAAAAGATAATGGATGTATGGATGAATGAATGGATGGAACCAAAACAATCCCTTCATCATTTTCTTCACTTAACCATTTAAAATTGTTTTCAACTTTTATTTGTTTTCTCGTTTTATTCTATATTCTCATTTTATTTGTTTATGTCTGTAAAGTTATTTGGATTGCTTTGGTCTTAAAAATTTACCACGCTAGTAGTGAACAATTGATTGATTGATTGCTTATGTGCTGATTAAAAACCGTCTTTGTTAGTAAGATAATGGGGACCGTGAATTAGAATAATTCCAGATGACTTGTCAGTCTGTTGTGGTTGTTGTCAAGTTTCATCCACTTTCTGTAAAACTCCGAATTTAAAACGGAAATATTATTTTTTACTTAAATTATCAAATTCAGAGTGTACATGAACACAGCTGCTATTTGAGTGACAAGAACTGCCATTTGTGAAAAACAAGTAAAAACACAAGTTTAGTTTTAGGATTTTATTGTAAATGTGTTTTACATAGTAGAACAAAGCAAAAAAAAAAAAAAGAATTTTAACAAATTCTTAGTAATAAAGTGTTTACAGACCACATTTTTAAAATAACCTGCCACATGTTTCAAGATACTTTTTGCTCACTTGAAATTATCACCTTTTCAAATGAGTTGTAAAAAAATATACATTATTGCAGAAATTATTTGGCAAGTAGAATCATATTTCATGAAACATTTTATTAGCATAATGTGTCCTGTAAACACCTGATTTTTTTTCGTTTTACAGTTTATATGTGAAACATTCTGTTATGTACACTTTCTTTACATTTTCAAAAATCTTTCACAATCACAAATATCTATATAAGAATATTTCTGTTCTTCTTTCTGATGCATGTACAGTATTTACATACATTCCTGGGATCACTTATAATACACATTCAGAAAAGGGTTTCTTCTGTTTGCATGGAAGGAATGCCTGATAAAGTAGACTTTCTACACACAAAATCAAGGGTGGCATCAAAATACTATTTTAACAACTGCCGAGCAAATTAATATTTCCAGGAACAAAACAATTTCTCAACTGTCCCATTCATTCAGTTTATGTTAGTTATGGCACATAAATAAACGTCTTGTCTCGGGACTCTGCATCGTATCCGTGCATCTGCTGTCTCTCTCGTTTAATTTAATTTTCACTTACAGAGTGGCAGAAAACACATTCTTTAAGAGTAATTGTGTATGTAAAAAAAAAAAAAAGCATCACAGGAAGGCAGTTGTGATACATGAAAGATTACGATGATGATTCCTTGGTTGCGCTTCAATTTTTCATAAGCATAACAACAACCTGTTTTCTACAGGCAAATATGCTGTGAATTGTTATGAATTTGCTATCTGATAAAATGACAAATTCCAGTTTTAAATCAGCTAAAGCACAATAAAAATCCATTCAATTGAATTTGATGGTTCAATGTTATAGTGGTTCAATGTTTGAACCATGTACGTTAAAATAAAAACTAAAATAATTAGTATTTCATAAAGCAGCTTTATCTATCTTTTAAAAAGTGGACACAGTCCTTTGTAATTACTTATATATTTTTTTTATATTTTACTCCTTAAACCTCTATTTGTCACACTACAGATTGCATTAGTGCATTTATTTTGACAACCTAGAATAATTTTGGTATTTTATGTTTTAAGCATACAAATCCCGTCTTAACCAGAGGCTACCCAAATAAAAAAATCATTGCATCTGATTGGTGAAAGAATACTGACTCCAGCATCTTATTAATGCTTCCTAACAGAGCACGTTACAGTAATGGACAGCAGTGAAAAGCAAACAGTCACGTAGAGTATGAAAATAAAAGACAAATAAAACTCATGAAACAGAAGCTGTGATGTACAGTCAGCTGAAAACACAGTTTTCAACTTTAGCTTTAAAGATTATTTTCTGTCATAAATGGTTGGAGATGCACTGTAATAATTTTTTTATTAGAAATATGGCTTTTTTACCCCAAAATAAAAAGACTCAACCAAAACGAAAGCCAAGTCTGACAGCAGCTCAACGTGCGCTCAGCAGAGTAACTCTCAGAGTAACTCTCAGAGTAACTCTCAGAGTAACTCTCAGAGTAACTCTCAGTAAGTGCAGACGACCAACAGATTTCATGTGAGCCAGTGAAAATTACACGGCTTCTTGATCTACGATGGAGAGCAGTAAATCAACAGGAACTTGAACTGGATTCTTGTGTTTGCAGTTTTTTTTTGTTTTTTTTTATACGTACGAGACTCAAAGGCGTCAAAAAGCCTTTTTCAAAACTAAAGGAATGTTGATGTATCTATTATTCTGTCATCTCTGGAAAAAGAAAGAAGCCCTTATTGCTTCCTACATTTGCAAAAATACTATTTTTTTTAGGGGTGGTAGGGGTATACTTTAAAATCATTTAATAAAGATCTTGCTAGCATGCAATTTTAAAATGATTGGCTCCAGAAAAGTTTTTAAAAATAAAGTTAAAAAGGGGCATTTATAAGAGTTGTAGAACTCACAGTGCTATAAAATGTACAGATATGAAGCTTTTATTTTGTAATAAAATGCACCTCAAAGTGTAAAAAATACTCTGAATAGAGTCTTTGCAATAGATTGGCTAAAAGATTTGAGAACAAAGTTGCAATATATATATAAAAAGCTTATTCCACCATTGAGATTGCTGCGTCAAGTAACAGATACCTGTTTTAGTTTCTACAGTCTTTTCCTCATCACCAATAAATTATCACAGTACCATAAATGTGCGTCACACGCTTGGACATAAACACACACAAGTGATAAAGAGCCCTTTCCAGAGTCTTTTGTGTTTGAACTGTCACCCCTCCAATCCTTTTTGTCTTTCGTCACAAACACCCACCCCCTCCCGCTGTCGTCCTCCGTTTAGCGTCACTCAGTCAGAGCGGGGTCAAAGGGGTCCGTTTGCAGAGCGTCCTGTCCTGCTGCTTCGTGGAAAGCGATGGACTTTGAGGTGTTTCGACAGGTGATCGCTGCGGGCAAACTTCTTCTCGCAGACGATGCACTGGTATGGTTTCACTCCAGAGTGGGAGCGGCGGTGTCTGGATAGCTCATCAGATCGGGAAAACCTGTCGGAAAAGGGAGAAGGAATTTAAAAATCTTTTGTTTTCACGGGATTCTGAACACACTGACAGCCCAGCATTGTCGATTCCTCTCTGCATAAATACCTTTGTGCTCGTATGAAGCCCTATAAACATAAAAAATAATAGATGGAGTCATGCTTAAAGCTGCCAAATAAAATAAAAGCGGTGCCACGCTGTTTTTTTTTAGATGGGTAATCTGAGAGGTGTGATGCTTTGCATGCAACTTCTCTGTGAAGCTGAAGAGCCACCCCATATTTAGCTCAACACATGAGCACTGTAAATCCAAGCTCGGTCTATTCTCGGCCTGATCTGCTGTGGTCACTATGGGCTTCGGCCAGCTTTGACTATTCTGACAGTAAAGGGTTAAATGGATGACAGAGCAGCATCTCTACGCCTCAGTGCATATCCGTATACATTAGTCAAGCTGTTAAGACCAAATTCATCTGGTACATGAATAGATTCCACCGTGGCAGCAGCAGGATGTAAGCATGAAGGTGGTAAGTCACATGGAAGTAAAGATATTACCCACAGTTGTGTTCGGCCATTTTCATTTTAGACACAGATTACACACAAGGCCTATTCATCAGTTTAATAATCAAGTTATGAAGGAAAGTAACGTTAAGTGAAGAAAAAAATAATCATCCTTCTTGAAGATGAACCAACATTTCATATCTAATTTCCTGAATTTATCTCAATAATGTGGATACCACATTTTCCAGACTATAAGTTAGTTTTTTACATAGTTCAGCCAGTCCTGTGACGTATAGTCCAAAGTGACTTATTTACGTTTTTTCCCTATTCATGATGCAATTTTTGACTGACGCGTTAAATGTTCATTCATACTGACATGAACTAAAGAGTAAGCATTACCATTTGCAGCTGCGAGAGGGCCCTCTAGGGTTTTGACAACTATATGTTGTTCCTCTACCGCTAACCCCCCCCACCCCCCAAACATTCACTTAGAGACAAGTGAGAAAAACTTAACACAAGTGAAATGCCTAAAAAAAACATCGTATTCTGCAGATTACAAACTGTAGGTAATAAAATATGCAAATGGGTGGGGGATTCAACATGGCGGAAGGAATGGCCACTCGGTGGCGGAGGATCCCCCTCGTGGGGGACCTTCCCTCCGTGTTTGGCTGGCTCCCGACGAGTGCATTTCCTCTGTGGCAGTGCACCACGACAGGCTTTGGGTTGGACTGGAAGGGTCCGGGGACGAAGGTGGCTCGTGGCTACGGCTGCGAACTCTACATCTACATCATCCCCCTGCCTGCACCTCGCTGCTTCTCAGGGCCACAGACTGCTTGCCTCGTTGGACCCTTCCTCCCCGCTCCAACGGCAGAGGGATGGGGCCCCCTCGCCACCGGCATGGCTGCCAACCAGGACGCAATGTTCTCAGTACAACCCAACCGTGCCATGCCGCCCAGGGTGGGGACGGGCCTATGTTTCCCAGGCACAAGGGGTCAGCAGTGACGCATAATAAATGTGACTTATACTTCGAAGCAACATATACTGTATACGTTTTTTTTTCCTCTTCATGAGGCATTTTTTGACTGATGCGACCTCCAGAGCGACATATATTTTGGAAAATATGGTAATCTGTCACCAGTGTGCCAAAGGTCAGTTTAACACTTTCGTTAAGCTATCTTCTCTGTTAGCCCAAACAAGACATCGTTGCGACTAAATTTAGCAAATTATTTAACGCCTTCTTGTCACTTTTTGTTCTCCAGGAATCCTCTAACAAAATTTTAGAACAAACATCACCAGTAATGCCAACAAGGAGTGAGTTCTCTCTGTTCCACGGCAGAAACACCTGCTTTTACTTTGTTCAGTTCTTGGAAAAAAATACAAATAAAACGGTGTAGCCGCACTTCTGAGATAAGGTTTAAGAACAGGGGTTTCCAATCCTGGTCCTCCATGGCCACTATCCATCACAGTTACTTGTTTCCCTGCTCCAGCACTCCTGATTCAACTACCAAACTACCTCTCCATCTTCTGCAGAACCCTCTTAAACCCAATGATTCAAACCAGGTGTGTTGGAGCAGAGAGACGGCTAAACTATGCAGGATGGTGGCCCTTGAGGTCCAGGATTGGACACTCCTGTTTTACAAGGATGGTGATTGTGCAACAGAGAATATGATCAATGGACACAGAAATCCTATAGTCTACATAACTGTTTAGAAACAACCAAAAGGCTGCAGATGAGATAAAATTTAGCTGCAAATGTAAATGTATACAAATGGCTGATACAAACCAAAATGTTACAACATTATAAAAATGGTAATGCCTGACAACGTTAAGTGACTCATCTAAAAGGCTTTTGCTGTTTTCATGCTTGCAGCAATGTAAACAATGCTAACACATTCATGCTAAGCAGATACAACTTGTGCTTTCCTAGATAATTAGCACAAACCACTACATAGATCAGCAGAGTGGTAACTGGCAGAATGAGTTGTTTTGTACATGTAAGAATAATGAGTACAGAGCAGGTCGAGGTTTGTTTATATGATTGATCAAACTCTTTATCTCTTTATGATAATTGGCTATTTAATATAATATAATTAGCACATAGCTTGGTAACTCTGCAGCTTTGCACAAAGTGTTGACTTCTCTACATCATAGACACAAAATACATTTCAACCATCTGTCCTGTATATTCCTAGTAATATGAAAAAAATAAGCAAATTTATTCATATTTGTATAACTTTGATGGGCTGCAGTAGCTTGGTGGTCAGTGCCGCGGTCTTGTAATCCTGAGGTTGCAGGTTCGAGCCCAGGTAGCATCAGAAAAGTCATCTGGCATAAAACATTTGCCAAATCTTTCATACAAGTTTGCTTGCTGTGGCAACCCTTGAAGAAGGTAGCCGCCGAAAGAAACACACTATTCATATTTATACAACTTTATGGTCTCAATCAAAATTTGTTAGAGCATTATATAGTGCAAGGGTCTATAACTACCAGGTCAAAGACCTGTACTGGTCTACAAATTAATTGGTACTAAGCCATACACAGGCATATATATATATATACACACACACTTTCTTTCACACTTTCCTGCTTTTCTTGACTTGGAAGTAGTCCCCCCCCCCCCATATTAGCATACCTATAAGCTGTCATTTGCAAAGCAAAGTAAAAAAGAAAAAAACATAGTAATGATAATAAGTGATGTACGTCTTCTCCCACACTAGTCTTTCAGAAAGATGTTCAATAAACTGGTCTGTAATGCAAAATATTTTGAGGACCAGTGCTACAGAGTTTGAAACTAGCTGATATAATTAATTTTAAAGTCATATCTGACATTGTTTGACATTTTCTTAACTTACATTTGGTTTGCTGTGTTTTCAGGATCAAATAAAAAGCTCTTCTTAAGAATCTGTTCTTAAAACGATTGTACTTTTGGTCTTGTAAGCCATGGTTGATGATACATGCACACGTCAAACCCTTCAGAGCTGTTCAGGCTGAACTGCAAGCTGGGACATGATTGAAACCATGTCTGGTTCTTCTTCTGACAAACTGGACCTGAACCCAACTATGCTATACCAGAAATGGTCTTTCAGAAAGAAAGAGTATGTTTTTATTCAATCGATCATGCAATAGTTAATTATCTTATTATATGCATCTTTTCATCTTTTTACTTGTTTTCCCAATGTATTTTTCTAATTTACCCTATTTATCTGAACATTTCAGGGACTGTGACCAAAGTCAGGGAATTTGAAGCTGTAAGTATAAAGGCATTTTTGTTAATCTCTTCAATGTGTTGTTTTACTTCAGATTATGGTTTAAACTCCTCAAGGCAGCTTGGCGTGGCTGCCACACAACACATAGTATACATATTAGTGTGGGTGGTGTGAGAAACACACATGCAGGCTTTGTTCTAGCTTGTCCTTAAAACCAACTCTGCAGCTAACATCAAAACACCTAGGAAGGTGTGGCAGCCAGGTCAGTTACAAAACTAAGAGATTTTCATACCTGCACTGTATATAAATGACAGAGATTGAAAATGATATAAACCCTCTTTCTCCTTGTTGCCTCTTGCTTTTGCACTTAATTGAAAATATATTGCTGAATTAAACAGATCTGCCATCACCTGGCACTGTGTTGTTGTAACGTTGGATAAATCACCTGACAAAGACAACCATCGCAACCCTGATGACAGATGACGAGCACGCACATGCCGCTATGTTTTCACAGCAAACTTTGCTTTTAAGCCCAGTCACTGAGAAATAAAGTCTCAGAACTTGTATGCAGGTCTGAGCTGAGAATACTGGAGACTCCTGTGTGTTGGTGCCTGTAAATGAGCCGGTGTTTACTCTGTCTAATGCGTCCAAATCTGCACATGAGCAAAACCATGCACAACGGCACAAGTGCAAGAGAGGGATAATGATCCAAAAAACATTAAAAAGGAAACAAATGTTTGGCAAAAGAAGAAATACAAGTTTGACTGACATACATGTGGGACACGAGCCAATGAAATACCACTTCTCTGTACTTCAGAGGAGCCAACACATGGATCTCCTCTAAGGTTACAAAGAGTAAGAGGTGCCTGACTCACTGGTTTATGTGCATTTCCTGCTCAAGAGTGAACTGGGCACAGAGGAGGAAACTTCATAATAAAAAAATTAATTGCTGCAGTCTTGAAAGGACACTTGAAGGGACATTTTTATAATGCAGGTCTCTTTAAAAAACATATGGTTCCGAATGCCTAAAGCCATAAAGCCATAAATGCCTTTTAAGAGTTATTGTGCATGCGTTATATTTAGTGCATGGCAGAGATTTAAGGATGTAATGACAATATTTAATGGCTTTGCAGCTGACATGTTTGCAGCTTGTCTCACACACTGCAGGACACAAAAGCTAACTCTTAATAAATATGATGACTCACGTTCAGATGACAAAGCAATATTTGAATGTTTTATCAATCCTTTTGTTCATTCTTTTTAGTAGGGGTGTCAAACTCAGTTTCCAAAAGGAGCCAAAATGTAAAAACGTTGTCCGAGCCATGGACCACTTTCAGCTGATACATTAACTCGAGTCAGATACCAAATATATTTTCTTGGTTCTTGGTTCAGTCTATACTAAATGACGTATTCAGATCAGAAGATACAAAATGTTACATTTAAATGATCATCTTGGGGGACCAGATTTTGCCTGCGGCTCTTGAGTTTGACATATGTGCAAGTATCCATTCTAGTGTAAATATGACTCATGCTGTGGTATGTTTCCATTGCTAAAGCAGAATTACATCTACAGTCAGTATTTTTTTAAAGATCTGTTTGATGTATTAGCCAGAATGAAAAAATAATACAGCAACGATGCAATTAAACAGTCAAGCTGTGAAGTTCAGTTGCACTAAATGCATGAACAGATGCTCCAAAACTTTTTCAAATTAATTTAACTTTGTAATTATTATTATTATTATTTTTTTGCTTCAATGCAAGGTTATACCAACAAAATAATGTCTCATAATATACATATTAGAACAAAAACTCCCTGTTTGAGGATGTTCAAGTTCAGGGTTCAAGGTTCTTTATTCGTCATACACACATGTGGTACATGTGGTGGAATGAAATTGTGTACACAGGGTCCCAGTTACATCCAACCAATGTACAAAATATAAAATAAAAACAGCAAAAAGATCTAAGATATGAACAAAAAAAAAACAATAAGCACTAGTAGTATAAAAAAAAAGCAATACGCCGATTGCACTGTGATAAAACCCTTGTTTTAAAATAATGCAAGCTCTTAAAAGTGACTTCACGAGTCATAATCAGCCATTGTGTGAAGAGATTTATGTAAAGATTAAAGTTCTTAACATGTACCTTGAACACCACATTCTATTTGCTGGAGATTAAAGCCTGGATTTTTTTTCTGACAGGCTCAGGGAAAAACAGGGCAATAGTGTAATCAGGGATAACTGTTGGTTTGTGCTTGGCTGACATGCAATAGTGTCAGAAGGATGTAATCCAGCGATAACTAAACTCATTGAATCATTCAGTAAAGAGGATTATCCTCTTCCAATGTGGTTGTTGATTTATTTTTATTTTTTTAAACAATTTGATGAGTTAGAATGCTGATATTACATCATCAAGTGTGTTGACAGCAACCAACTGTGAGAACAGATTAGAGCATGTTGAGCGTTGGCAGCTGTAGTTAAAATAATCTGACTGAAAAATAAATCATATATTTTCTTCCTGCCTGACCTTAAATAAGAAAACTGCAAAAGTGAAAATATTCCAGCAAGCTATGTCTGAGAGAGAAAAGCTGCTTATATTTAAAGTATTTCAAGATGCATGAGCAGGGCTGCACAATATGAATATTGCAAAGGACAGCTTAGATGGCAATAAACCATAAGCCTGTATCTTTAATAATCATGAATTCATGTTCTATATGGAAAAAATATTTTGGATCAGAAAATATTGAGTTTATGGCAATTGATATTGTCATTGTATTATTGAATATGCATTGCAAGGGTTTCTATAATCTAACTGTAACCCAAACCCCCCAAAACAAGATATCAAGGGAACTTATTGGGTATCCCAATGGAATTGGACAAAATACTAACAAAAAAGCACAACAGATTGAAACCAAGCATCAATTTCATGCCTGTTGTTAATAAACATATGTCCACAACATTTCCATAACAACAAAGCCAAAAAGAGACCCATAGGCCTTCAGCCTTCCTAACTATGAGTCAGATCTGGATTGCAGGCCGCAGACTGACGAAGTCTTCCGGATGGGAGACAAAACGTTTCTCACTTAAAGAAACTGGTCCGGATGACGATTTAACCTTTTTTTGCTGTTATCTACCTGGATGATTGAGCTTACAAATCTTTTCTCTGAGCCATTTTAACCTTGGTGTCCTCAAGCTGTTTCTGTGAGTAGCAGGTTGGCCATCTGACCTAAAACATTTAATTGTTTTACATGATGATTGGTTGTTTTGGACGGATGGGCCCTGTTTGCGTGTGTTAAAAGCCTGCTTCTGCGATCCCAACAGGAGGTTGGCTTGAAACATGGCAATTAAGGCTACCTATGGGACAGATCTGGTTGGCAGGCCGCAGACTGATCAAGTCCTCCGGATGGAAGACGTAACGTTTCTCACTTAAAGAAACTGGTCCAGATGACATGACAACCTATTTTTGTTGTTATTTACCTGGATGATTGAGCTTACAAACCTTTGTTTTGAAAAAAAAGACAATAATTTCTGTTCATTAAAAACACTGGACTCATCTAGGATTAACCAGACCATGGCCTGTTTAATTCCTCTTCACTGACTACAAAAACACACAGGTACATTAGCATATCCCTACTTTTTATTTCTGCAAAATTAAGACTTTACTGTTTAACTCAAGTTCTTATCATTAGATTACCCTAACTTAACCCTACCCGTATTTATGCACACACACATATGTGCACGCGCACAGATAGCGAGAACTCTGTATGCACCCTTAAGCAATAACTGTACATGTAGCATAGAAGTGGAATTCATTGACCAGCAGGTCAAAAGTTGATGTTTGCACTTTGATTCACAAAGTTCAAAACATCCTGTTTTGAACTCCTTGATTCAAGATTACAATTTACCACACTGGAAGCAACAAGTCAGTGACTAAGAATATAAATCCGGGAAAAATATCACAAACGTATTACTATGCCAAGCAGAAAAGATTAGATGCAATTCTGCAGTAATCCTGGGTCTTTTTGGTGTGTGGTTGTGTGCTCAGTGGTTGGAGACAGTAAGCAAACAGGTGCAATAACTAACAGGGAACAAAGTCTGTCTACGGAGGACTTCAAAAGGTGCCCTATCTAATCTGCAACTTTACCATGGTTCAATAACACACGATAGAAGAGATAGATTCAGCATGTGGAAGAAAACAATTTGCATCTATATTGAACTGTTTGGAGTGTGGATTGCATCTAAACTTGTATCTACATGCATATTTGACAGACAGTTTTGTCCTTATAAAAGAGCTTTGTCAACTGTTGTCCAACAAATAAGTGACATAGAAGACTGGGGTGACTATAGGATAAAAATCTGGCAACGTAGAACTTCCAGAAATCTAGAAAGCAAAGGATGAAGGAAATACATTTCCAGGGTTTCTCCTTATCTATAGAATCCTCATCATATAGAGTCCCGTTGTCTTGTTTGTTTATTACACTCAACACATTATCGACATCTCTTTTCAGTGTAATAAATCACAAGAAGCGGAAGTGGATAACCCTGATTACTGTAATCTCTGTGGTGAAGATAAGCATAAAAAAGGATTCAAGCTGATGGTGTATTGAACATACCTTAGCAAAAACAACTGTTCTGATAAACCTGAAAACTATCTTGACTGATATCTCTTGAGGTTCATTGATTTCTCTGGCCACTCAAGCTAATGTAATGATTCTCGGTTCTGCTCACCTCCATCCACAGCCAGGCCATGTGCAGGCGAACGGCTTCTCCCCCGTGTGTCTCCTCAGGTGTGCTTTGAGGTGACTGCTCTTGGTGTACATCTTGTTACAGCCAGGGAACGAGCACTTGTGCATTTTGATCAGGTCTGCAACTGTGCTCTTCTGGTACCGCTGACTGCCAGCGAGGACCCCTGTGGCTGAAGTTCCCCCACCTAAACCGCCTTCCACAAGCCCGATGGGTTTAGCTGCGATTGGCACAGGTGCAATTCGGACAAACTTGGAGGAAGTGGCACCTCCTGTTTTGCTTAAGTTTGCTGCAGGTGAAAGCAGCTGAGGCACCAACGCAAAGGTCTGCCCCTGGATGTTGACCAGGAGCTGCGCAATTTTTATCTGTGATGTGGCTTCAGTTGGTTGGGAATGGGTGTTTGGGGACACAGAATCTATGGCACTGGGGCTTGGTTCCTGTTTGACCTGTATGGGCTGGAGTTGAAGAATTACAGGCACACTTGACGAAATGGTGGCACTTTCTGACAAAGCTGACAACGGTCCACAATCTTCCTGCTTGATCTCATCAGCGAGACAGTTGGAAGAAGTAGTTACACTGCTAGTAGCATCCTCTATCATTGATAAGCTGTCACTGTCTGATGCTTGGGGCGAATATTTGGTCTCTGAATAGGAGGAACTTGGAGAAAGAGCCACAGGCACAGTCTGATCTGAGTTCTGTAATCCTGGTTCAAGTTTTCCTGCTAGTGTCCTTGAAGCCTCCATTTCAGCCATTGACATAGAAGGTGACATTGGCTCATTCTCTTCTTGCTTCATTGCAACCACCATGTTCTCTTCAAGGAACTCCTCGATCTCTTCAAGAGTTGGCTGAAAAAGGAGCGCTTCAGGGTCCTGCAGCTCATCAAGGAAGACCGGGAACTCGAAACAGTCCTCTTTGGGCTGCTGCAGGGGGACGTTCTGCCGATGCTCCCTCTTGGGCTCCCACGCCAAACCCATGGGCATGAAAGGGGCCGTGGGAGACATGGAGGTAGAGGAGGCTGGGCAGGTGACACAAAGAGAAGATGAGGAGAGCGAGGAAACTGAGCTGCTATTACCGCCGTTGAGGCTTAATGAGGTGGTGAGGGAGGCCTGTGAAAGCAGGAGGTCCAACAGGCTCTCCTGACTTTCTCCTCCCGATGAGCTGGAACAACCACTGCTCCAGCTGCTCCGGCTTTCATAGCTGGAGCAGAAGACGTTCTGTGAAGCGGGCGACGAGGACTCAGGGCTGGAGCAGAGGGAGGAACGAGGGCTAGAGGAGTCACTGAGGTCGTCCTCGGAGAGGCAACGCGAGGAGGAGAGCGTCACCCCTTGGTAGGGATGATGCTGGTAGGTGCACGCGTCAGTTACCATGATGCCCGGCAAAACGCCACCATTTGTGCGGTGGGAGTCGCAGTTGTAGTCAGACCCCGGAGAACAGGAATAATACAGGAAGGTCTCCTCGCCAAGCGGCAGGTGATCCACCATTCCTGTGCGAATTGGTGGCAGCTGACTCTGCTGAGCTCTGAAGATCTAACTCTTGATGAAGGCTTCTTCCTCTTTCTGTAAAAGAGAGACGATTTAGTTTGACAGTAGTTCAACTTTAAACTTTTTCCATAATCAAAATCCTGAAACCCAGTTTTGGTGAAAAGCAAAGAGCAATTGAGATTGAAAGTTGTGGGCCATTAAAATTCGGCCGAGGGCCATGATGGGCCTGTGGTCTGGACTTTGGCCACAGTTGTTGGATGCAGGTTATCGTCTAATCGTTGGTTCACTGACTTTGGTCAGTTTGACCCCTACAGAGAGATTAATATTTCACATGGCTGTCCCTAAAGTGTCCATGAGGACAGAGAAAGTCATGAGAGTGAAAATTAGTGTACACCTTTAGTCTCTTTTGAATACCTGCTGCTTGTTTAGGAGCTCTGCAATGACTGTTAAAAAGTAAAAGTCAACCACATGTGAGAGATGTGGAATGTGGAAGGCTGAGTGCAGTGTGTGTGTGTGTGTGTGTGTGTGTGTGTGTTTGTGTGTGTGTGTCTAGTCTTTGCAGCTGCTGGGTCGGACTTCAAGCTGACCATGTGGAATCAAGTGCTCCTTTTTCTCACCACTTGTAAGATTAAAACCACATGTTCAATGGTGTGTTTCCATTTATCCTCCCTTAGTGGTCTTTCATTCAGTTTAATCTGGGTGACAATAATAATCTGAGATTATAATAAAAACACAATCAGAAAACTTTTTTTCTCAGAATACAGGGAGACACACTTTTTATGACAGGATAAACGATATTTCGGATGAGTGAAGGATTTATTCTCTATTATTAAGGCACAAACACACACACACACACACACACACACACACCACTGCTGCATTTATACAAGGATTAAAAATACTAGACGACATCGAATGGCTTTGGAGGAAATGAGAGGCCTTCGTGATTAAACATGACTCTGAAATCCCCTTTAAAGCCTAAAAAGGTCCGTGTGTGGAATGAAAACGACTGTGCGCCCTCTTCTGTAAGTCTGGTTGAAGGACGCAGCCAAAGAAGCGCAGCAAAGAGCTCCACTGAACCAAAGGGGCTTCACATGGTTCCTGCAGAAACATCTGCTTTTTAATAATATCCTCATTTTGGATTCTAAACGGTCAGGTACGACCATAAAAGGCGATGCTGCTTTGATTCATGTTTAATAAATGCAGCTCCTGATACGGTGTCATTTCGAGTGTATAGCATCAAGACGAGAAGGGGGGGTCTGCAGCTGCGGCTGTACCTCAAGTCTGGAGTTTGTCCTGTAGTAACCCCGCGGTCGGGAAACATCAACTGCTCTGACAGCGCTGCAGGATTTGACCTGAAGCTTTTCTTGGCATGTTCAACGCTGCAGGCTGACAGCGTCCTCACAACTGGTTTGACATCAGTTAAAAACGCACAACTGTCGATGTCACCAGCGCTTACTGCGTAAATTGGGAAACCTTTGCGTGCGGTTAGAGGTCAAATGTGTTCAGGAGCCGCTGCAGTCCACGATGACACGCAGCGTGCGAGCACTCATAGATAAAAAAAAAAAAATAATAAAATCCTCTCTCACCTGAAAAAGCGAGGAAAGTAAATTCCGCTCCTTTTACGCGCTGCGCTCCAATCCTGGACGTCCGTGCGTAACTGCGCGCACTGGCTGTACAACTCCAGCGCACGAGCTCGGCATGTCGTTTCTCTCTCTCTCTCTCTTCCTCTCTCCCTCCTTCTCTCTGTAAGTCTGGTGGAGCACTTGAAGCGTCATATGGTCGCAGCCTGCCTCGCGTCAAATCAGGGGACTGGCTCAGGAAGGCTCGTCTGCTCCGAGCGTCACTATTGGCTCCCAGTGAAGAGAGGCGGACACGCGGTTGGCGTGAGTGACAGAAGGAAAAGGGAAGAGGATGTGCACAAACTGGTTCTGCTCACGTTTCTCTTGCTTTTTTTCTGTAGATATGTCATGTTACTATAAAAATACAAAGCATATACTTATTTATAAACAAATTAAGTATGCTTTTTATGTTTTACTTTCTTGTTCTTGTGTTTAGTTACCATGGCACCTTGATTTATTGTTTTATAATACTATTTTAATTGCATTTTATTGTATTGTTGTCTGTACTTTATATGGTGTCTGTCTAAAACAGGTCTCTCTTGTAAATGAGTCCTCGTGACTCAGTGAGACTAAGTGGATAAAGAAAGCTTGAATGAATGTTGTTGTTTTTTACATTGTGCTGGTGCACTTCACTTGCATTTGGCTAAATGTAATAAACTCAAGTTCAAGTTGTGTTTATTTGTCAATTGCAGGTTAACAGTACAATGAAATGTTCAGGATAAGAAAAAACAATTTGACTCGCTAAAAACAAAGAACAAACAACAATATACTAAAGCATGCAACATGGGTACAAACATAAAGTACAAGTGAAAAAGCAAATATAATTACAAGGCCCAACAGAGAAATAGCAACAACATGCTAAAATATAACGGTGCAAGTAGGATGAATTTGTATGAATAAGTATTTCAAGGTAGTAATATAAGCTCAAATGCACATCTATCTATCTATCTATCTATCTATCTATCTATCTATCTATCTATCTATCTATCTATCTATCTATCTATCTATCTATCTATCT